GATCTCTTATTGTTGAAAATGTTACATATGTCCCTTCCCTCCTCCCCCATGGACCCCTTCTATACAGCCCCTACCACCAGCCCCAGGCCTTCACCATCCTATTGTCTGTGTCCATGGATTATGCATATATGCATACAAGTTCTTTGGTTGATCTCTTCCCACCCACTACCCTCCCCTGCCCTTTCTAAGATTCCACCTTCTGTTCTATGCTTTTATGTTTCTGAATCTATTTTGTTAATTGGTTTATTTTGTTCATCAGATTCCACATATGAGTGAGATTATGTGATACTTGTCTTCCTCTGACTAGCTTATTTTACTTAGCATAATACTCTCAAGGTCCCTCCATGCTATCTCAATGGTAATAAATACTTTTTTACTACTGCTTAGTATTCCATGGTATAAATGTACCACAGCTTTTTTATCCACTCAATTACTAATGGACACTTGGGCTGTTTCCAGATCTTAGCTATTATAAATTGTGCTGCTATGAATATAATGGTGCATATATTCTTTCTAGTTGGTGTTTTGGGTTTCTTAGGATATATTCCTAGAAGTGGGATTACTGGCTCAAATGGAATTTCCATATTTAATTTTGTGAGGAAACTCCATACTGTTTTCTATAGTGGCTGCAGCAGCCTGCATTCCCACCAACAGTGCACATCCTTCACATCATTGTCAACACTTGTCATTTGTTGATTTATAGATGGTAGCCATTGTGACAAGTGTGAGGTGATACTTCATTGTTGTTTTAATTTTCAAATCACTGACTTTTTTTTAATAAGTCTATTGCCCATCCATGTGTCTACTTTGGAGAAGTGTCTATTTAAGTCCTTTGCCCATTTTTTTATTGGATTTTCTTACTTTTGTTAAGTTGTTTGAGTTCCCTATGTATTTGGATATTAAACCTTTATCATATGTATCAGAGGCAAATATGTTCTCCCATACAATGGGCTCCCTTTTCATTTTGTTGATGGTTTATCTTGCTGTGCAGAAGCTTATTTTGATATAGTTCCATTTGCTTAGTTTCTTTCTAGTTTTCTTTGCCCCGGGTGATGTGTGTAAATACATTGCTATAACAGATGTCTGAGATTTTGCTGCCTATGGTTTCTGCTAGGATTTTTATGGTTTCACATTTTACGTTTAAGTCTCTTATCCATTTTTAGATTATTTTTGTATATGGTGCAAGTTGGTGGTCTAGTTTCATTTTGTTGCATGTATCTGTCCGATTTTCCCAACACTACTTATTAAAGAGACTATCTTGATTCCATTGTATATTCTTGTCTCCTTTGCCAAATATTGAGCATAATGGATAGGATTGATTTCTGGGGGTCTCTGTTTAATTCCATTGATCTATGTCTGTTCTTGTGCCAGTATCAGGCTGTTTGGATTATAGTTGCTTTGTAATATAACTTGATATCTGGTATTATGATCTCTCCAATCCAAGTTGTTGTTCTTTCTCAAGATTGCTGTAGCTATTCAGGGTGGGTTTTTTTTTGTTTGTTTTGGTTCCATGTAAATTTTTGGAGTATTTGTTCTAGATCTGTGAAATATGCTGTTGGTATTTTAATAAGAATTGCATTGAATCTATAGATTGCTTTGGGTAGTATGGACATTTTAGTGATGTTAATTCTACCAACCCATGGACAGGGTATATTCTTCCACTTATTTATATCCTCTTCTATCTCTTTTTTCAATGTCCTGTACAGGTTTCTGAATACAAGTCTTCCACATCCTTGGTTAAGTTTATTCCTAATTATCTTACATTTTTTGTTGAAATGGTAAATTAAGTTATTTGTTTAGTTTCTCTGAAAATTCATTATTGGAGAATAAAAATGCCATTGATTTCTGGGTGTCATTTTGTAACCTGCTACACTGCCAAAGTCATTTTATAAATCTAGTTTTTTGGTGACGTCTTTAGGGTTTTCTATGTTCAATACTATGACAGCTGCAAATAATGAGTTTTACTTCCTCCTTTCCAATTTGGATGCCTTTTATTTTTTATTTTTGTCTGATTACTGTGGATAGGACTTCCAATTCCACAATTTGAGGTATGTATTCAGTTATTAGGTCTGTTATTGAAATGTCTTGAAATTTATTTTCCATACAATTTTAGGCCAGATTATTCCTTGCTAAGTAATCAGTATCAGTAAGTACATTGGAATATATATTTGTGTCTAATGTTTTTGTTTTTTAAACAGCTTTGGAGATTCAACTTTGCAGCAACTCGGTTTTCTTTTCCCCTCTTTATTTTTTTCCCACCAACATTTATCCCCTGCTATACCATTCTTCAACTCACTCATCCACACTCATGTTGGTAGCTTGAAATTGGCCATGGTAGAAATACTTAGAGCAGAGAAATTGGCAAATGCTACAAATCAGTATCTTTTATGATTAATTACCACCCCACACTCACCAGAGGGACAGTAAAGATTAAACATTTATCAGCACCATTACCCTATCTGGTCTATACCACTCCATGTCTGCCCAACACATTTCTGACATTTTTACCACTTCCCCATTTTGCCTAACCAATTGGCTCAGCATGTTCCTTCCTACCTGATATCTTGCATATACTTTGTGTGTGTGTGTACCATGTACTTTTAAATTTCACGTTAAATATACATATCCTATCTCATAAAGAGGAAATAAGCTAACTAACCATCATGCCCTCACAAAGATGGTGGTGCCTACAGTCTATAAGGAGGGAATATGCTAATTGACTGCCATACCCTTAAAGATGGCAGTACCCACAGTCACCAGATGGCAGCACCCAGTCCCCTCAGCCCAGGGGAGTAGCAGGCCCACAGCACAGCCAGGTCTGCCCCAGGTGGGTCTGGCCACTCTGTGTGCCTACCTCTTAAGTCCCCCACTTCTCTCAGCCCTCCAGCCGCCCAGGGCTGTCTGAGGCACAGGTAACCAGGGCCAGCCGAAGCTTGTGCTGTCAGCAGTGGCAGCAGCAGAGGTGTGATGGGGGTGTCACCTTCCCCTGATCGCTGGGTTGCCTCCTGCCCCCAAGGGCTCTCAGACTGTCAGGGGGCAGGCCAGGCTAAGGGACTCCCCCTCCAGTGCATGAATTTTCATGCACCAGGCCTCTTGTGTGTATATATTTGTCTTTATTACATGCTCAGGATTGCAGGCTCAAGCCCCAGTGGAGAGCATACAGGAGGCAACCAATTGATGATTATTAACGTTTCTACCTCTCTTCCTCTCCTTTTCCTCTTTGAAATCAATAAATACACAAATATATATATATATATATAGCAGCTATCTGTAATAATAAAAGGGTAATATGCTAATTAGACAAAACATCTTCCAGATGACGTTCAGAAAAGCCATGGTGGGGGGGCTGAGGCAGACATGGTTAGGAGTGATCAGGCTGGCAGGGGAAAGCAGTTAAGGGGATCAGGCCAGCAGGCAGGTGAGCGGTTAGGAGTCAGTGGTCCTGGTTGTAAGAGAGTTATGATGTGATACTCAAGCCCAATCTAGGAGAAAGACAGCCACTTTTGCCATATTGGTTCTGCAACAGATTGGATTGGATTTAAAGGCCACTCAGGCCTTGGACCTGGCACCTTTGCACAGCAGATACAGAAGGTAGTCATGGCTTTAGTTACATTGGTGCTTCCTGCCATGACTGCATTGTGGGTACCAACGTGTATGCTGAGGTGCGCTGCAGATGGAAGCTCCCCATATCATAGTGGGCACATCAGGATATGTTTGACATGCTTAATCACAGATACTTGTCTCCCAAATACATCCAAGATGTTTGTGAAGCTGATGAAATATTAAGCTGTGGGTCCAAGGACCAGATATATGACATATTCCAAAAGCTCAACAGCAACACTCAGGTGGTATTGCTGTCAGCTACAATGCCTTCGGATTCTTGTCAAGAAGGAAGAGTTGACTCTCAAGGGTATCTGCCAATTCTGTATTATTGTGGAATGAGAGGAGTGGAAGCTGGACACATTGACTTATATGAAATCCTTACCATCACCCAGGCAGTCATTTTCATCAACACAAAACAAAGGTTGGTTGGCTCACTGAGAAGATGCACACCTATGCCTCTGCCATGCATGGAGATATGGACCAAAAGGAATGAGATGTCCTTGACAGGCAGAGCAGGAGAGGGAAGGGAAGAGAGACAAGGGATAAACATCTTGTCATTTTTTTTTCTTCCCTTTTAATAAATGTCACTTTTTGAGGCAAAGAAGGAACTGTGAACAACTTACCCTTTTTGGGGAGTAGTAGGCTCATGCCCCAGGTGTTGTCTCTTCTCCCAAAAATACTAATCCACTTCCCTAACCTAGTCAACCTCCAAGCCCCAGAGACTCCCTGCTCCAGCCAAACTCCTCTGAAAATGACTCAAAGGGATTATAATATTACTCAACCTCATTTACTGAGCCAAATCTGGAGAGAGAACCCCTGAGTTAGGCAGCCCAGGAGATCGTCCCCATGTTGAGGAAACAGCGGAGAAAAAAGTAGTAGCCATTTTTATATTGTTTTGTATGGCATTTATTGATTCAGGAAACAAACAAAATTCTGAATAAATTTACTTGGAAATAAACAAATAAAAAAAAAAGGTTCCAAAGGACAAAACCAATGACATAATATACACTTCTTTAAAAAGTAACTTCTACAGTAATATACCTTTGCTTCAGAACTACATGATGCATATTCTTCAAGTCTCAAACACTTAATGAAAACATGCTTGTTACTTATTAGTCAATCTAATACCAAATCTGAATCACTGAAATAAAGGTTGGATTTTGTAGTCTCAATATTTTCCACACCCATGTTAGTTGTGTTTCAAAATTCTTATATTTTCTGCAAAAATATAATTCTTGGTTGAGGAAAATATGAATAAAGGTGAAGACTTACCAAATTGTTATGTACCTGTGTCCAAAAATACTCATCTGGAGGATAGAAAATAGTATTTGCTTTATTTATTAATGTTTTTATTTTTGTTAATCCTCATCTGAGAATATTTTCCCATTGATCTTTAGAGAGAGTGGAAGGGAGAGGAAGAGACACAGAAACATCAATGTGAGAGAGACACATTGATTGGTTAATGACTGCATACACCCAAAGGGGGCCAGGGATAGAGCTTGCAACAGAGATATGTGACCTTAACCAGAATAGAACCTGAGACTCTTCAGTCTGCAGGCAGATGCTCTATCCACTGAGCCCAAAGATTTGCGCTAATCTTTGTTTTTCTATGTGCAAATTTCCTTCAGCAGGTGAGAGATTAAATGAAAAATGGGAGGATCAACATTGCATACTTGGACAGCAAATTTTTAAAATAAAATCACAAACTCTGAAATTTCTAGTTGTGTCCTTTAAATATACTTCAATAGCATAGGAATAATTATTTAACTTAGAGAGTAATGGTTAATGGTTCAGAGAAATTAAAAAAGGACATGATTAAGTAAAGTTTATTTTACCTACAGCTCCTGCAATATAAACTGAATGTAAATACTGATAGTGAGACATATAAAGAACAACTACTGATAAATGTCAGAACATCATGCCTTCCAATCCATCTTCCATGAACTTCTTATAAAGTGCCATAAATTTGGCCACAAATGCTTCCAAGTGATAAATGGCTTTACTACCCAGCTGCAGACGATGTTCATAGTAAGCTGCCATCTGGGCCACTTCTCCTTTCAGTTGTCCATCACAATTATGTAAAAGTTCTGAGAGAAGGCCCTAAAGAAAGATAACTACAGGGTTTATTTCTCATTCAAAGCAGAAGTAAATCTTAAGTTAAATATGTTAAGAACTACAATACATGATGCATATTCTTCAAGTCTCTAACACAAGTCTCTGAAAACATGCTTCAAGTGAAATATCCTTTTCTTATTTGTGAAATCCTGAATTCTTTTATATGGACTGACAGTCTTCAACCAAAAGCAAAAAAAAAAAAAAAAAGTGGCAATTATTTAGCATATTCCAAATTCAATACTTAAATGTATGAGGATGCAAAGATATAAGTTCAAAGATGCCTGTTATAACATTAATTACTAGAAGCCCAATGCAGGGATTCGTGCACCAGTGGGGCCCCTTAGCGTGGCCTGCCGGGATAGGCTAAAACCAGCTCTCTGACATCCTGAGGGTCCTGGCTTGTGGGAGGGCGACCAGTGCACGATCAGGACTGCGGGAGGGCTCCAGGGCATGTCTAGCCCATCTCGCCCAGTCCCAATCGGCCGGACCACAGTAGCAAGCTAACCTACCAGTCGGAGCGTCTACCGCCTGGTAGTCAGTCAGTGCACATCATAGTGATTGGTCAAATGAACGGTCTGACACTTAGTATATTATATAGCCCGGCCAGCATGGCTCAGTGGTTGAGAGTTGACCTATGACCCAGTGTGGGGTGTACAGGAAGCAGCTGGTCAATGATTCTCTTTCATCATTGATATTTCTATCTCTCCCTCTTCTTTCCTCTCTGAAATCAATAAGAAAAATATATTTTTTAGCCGAAACCGGTTTGGCTCAATGGATAGAGCGTTGGCTTGGGGACTGAAGGGTCCCGGGTTCGATTCAGGTCAAGGGCATGTACCTTGGTTGCGGGCATATCCCCAGTAGGGGGTGTGCAAGAGGCAGCTGATCGATGACTCTCTCTCATTGATGTTTCTAACTCTCAATCTCTCTCCCTTCCTCTCTGTACAAAATCAATAAAATATATTTTAAAAAAAAGAATATATATATATATATATATCAATATATATGTATATATATATATATATATATGTATTTTTTTTTAAAGAGAGTTTGGTAAATATGGGCTGTCAGGAACCAACATCCATGTTACAATGTTGAATGAGAAACACTGTGCAGAACATTGTCAAGGTTTGTGAAACCACACACACACACACACACACACACACACACACACACACACGAGTTTAATTTCTACGTGAACAGAATAGAGGTCTATTAAAACTAGTTATCCTTATAGAAATGAAAGGGTAGACCTTCATATGTTTTTTTTTGTATGTTGGGTCATTTGAATTTTTTTCATGTAAATATTACCATTTAAATACAAATAAACAACAACAAAAAACCCTGCATTTCCTAACAAATCAATCTAGGTAGGCAGGTAGCTGACAGACCAACTCTAAAGCTGTGCCTTACAATATACCATAGTTCAGATTCTGTCTACACATTTAACCCCATTCCCCATGTGCAATGAACTTAGTAGTCTGAAATACTGGTACCCCAGCCATTTACACAATTCCCTTCTTTTAATCCTGTAAGTCTTAGTTTAAGCATAACCTTCCTCAGAGAAGCTATTGCTGACCTTCCAGATCCACTCTCCTTTATTTTACGTTGGTACTTCTTAACACATAGCATTCTGAAATCCTTCTGCTTGTTTACTTATTTCTAATCTTACCCTACTAAATGTAACTTATCTGAAGGCAGGGCCTCTCCTCTCTTCTTTGTCATCCCCCTTATGGTGCTTGACATACAGTAGAAACTCAATAAATATTTGCTGAATTAATGAACTGGATAAGAAGTGACAGCGTTTTCCTATGATTGCAAATTTTATGCTTAAGTAAAAAGAACTTAAGATGTGAAATCAGGTTACCTTCATTATTATTTCAGGAGGAATACAATGAGTTAAAAGCTCATAGAGTCTGCCGCGAACTTCAAGGAGCCTACAAAAAAACACAGCAATATTTTGTTTTAAAAATAAGAGGTAATTTTTCCAAGTACCCACTGTGCTGTTTAAATTTATGAATTAAACAATCTAATACAAACATTTTCTTAAATGACTTATCATACTTAGCATATACATATAGAAGCTTTTTCTAATTTCAGTTCATTTTTTTTAAAAGAAAATTTACAGAACTCTTTTAAAAGTAGACAGGACTTATATTCAGTCTTATATTAAGACTTCCTGATCAGTGAAGGTTGAATTTATTTCACACCATGGACTTTAGCATACTTTCATGACACATCAAGTAATATGTTTATTTTACCCCCAAATAAATGATATCTAGAACAGGTAGAAAATAATCATAAAAAGATTGAAGAATCACTGATAAACTACACTTATGATAATAAAAACATAATATGCTACTTAGACCGGACAGCAGAATGATTTTCCGGATGTCCTTCTAGACAACCTTTCTGAAGAAGCAGTAAAGGCAGGGGTTGCGGCTGGAGGGGGCCGAGGCAGAGGAGGTTAGGGGCAATCAGGCAGGCAAACAGTTAGGGATGATCAGGCAGAGGCAGTTAGGGGTGGTGAGGCAGGCAGGTAAGTGGTTAGAGACGATCAGGCAGGCAGGCAGAGGCAGTTAGGGGCGATCAGGCAGGCAGGCAGGCAGGCAGGCAAGTGGTAGAAGCCAGCGGTCCCAGATTGTGAGAGGGATGTCTGACTGCCAGTTAGACTCAATCCAGGGCCAGGTATTGGGCCTAAACCGGCAGTCAGACATCCCGTGCAGAGCGGGATGCAGAGCGGGCTGAGGGACCTCCCTCTGCAAACCTCCCCTCCCCCGTGCATGAATTTCATGCACTGGGCCTCTAATATAATATAATGCTACTGTTTATAGTGCAAAGTGAAAAGCAATATGGCAAGGAAACAAAGATGTCCTGTCATTATAGGTAAGTATAAAAACAGGCTGTATAAGTCAACATGAGCATCTCCACCTGAGCCTTTAATTCTAGACCCCTCTCATAACATTTCTCTCCTTCACAAAAATGGAAATATACAAGGCATTTTAAAATAGTAAGGAAAACAGTGACTATTAAAATTCTAAACACAAGAATCTTTATGTCTATCTATCTGTCTATCTCTCTCTCCATATATACTGGAGGCCTGGAGCATGAAATTTGTGCACGGGGTGGGGATGTGTGTGTGTGGGGGAGGTGTCCCTCAGTCTGGCCTGCACCCCTCGGGGGATGTCCGATTGCTGGTTTAGGCCCAAACCAGTAACCAGACATCCCTCTCATGATCTGGGACCGCTGGCTCCTAACCACTCACCTGCCTGACTGATCACCCCTAACCCCTATGCCTACTGGCCTGATCTCCCCTAACTACCCTCTTCCACTGGCCTGATCGCCCTTAACTGCCCTCCCCTGCTGGCCTGATGATCGCCCCTAATTGCTCCCCTGCTGGGTTGACTGCCCCTAACTGCCTCTGCCTTGGACCCCACCACTGTGGCTTTGTCCAGAAGGAAGACTGGACAATTGGAAAGATGTCTGGTCGATCCGGTCTAATTAGCATATTACCCTTTTATTAGTATAGATACATAAATTACCTACCCTAAAGGGAAAAAAATTTTCTGAATTGTCATTAAAATAATATCATAGATGTTATATTATTTCAGATTAATCAGGATAGTGATTTATGAAAGATTTCTTAAAAGTAGAAGTTCAAACCCCATTCTGGGAATCCAGGACTATGAAGCTTAATAAAAGTTGTTTTTGTTTTTGCTTTTAAATCCAGCATGTTTTAAGCACTTGCTATGTGAAAGATACTATAACTAATAATTTAAAAATCAGTCGTCACACCAGCTGTGAGTGGGCATTATCTCCATCTATTTTTAGATGAAAAAAGTTTAGCAGTAAATTGTCTCATGAATTCTCTCCTTTGTTTTTTTGTTTTGTTTTTGCTTTTGTTGCTGCTTATTATTATTAAATACGTACAGTAAGACAGCATGGGTCCTAAAGTTAGTGAGAGCAGCAAAGTGGAAACTAAAGTTGTAAAAATAAAAAACAGAGCTTAAAAAGTGCCAAGTATAATAAAGGTGTTTACATGTCTAATCTGGCTACTGCTTATGGTAAGGGGACTGGACAATTAACACAATTTTAAAACAAAAAGAGGCCATTAAGAGTGCTGACTTTAAGTGAAAGTGCCTACGAAACAATTTTCACAGGCGACTGAAGGTAAAACAGAAATATCTGGGGGGTCTATAATGGATTAACTCAAATTACATTATTTCTAATAGGAAAATAATTAAGTTTTAAAACAAACTGCTTTTCGAATAGCCTTCCAGAACAAATTAAGTTCCAGAACTGAGATTTCACTGTATTCTAAATCATTAAATTTCTAAAATTTTATTCTCCCTTTTCTTTAAAAGTTTAATCTTTAGATTTAATAATCAATATTTAATTATAATTCTAAATTGCATGGTGCTAATAAAAAACCACTACCCTAAAACTCAGAATAGCTGTACTACCTTGATGACCAAACTTTTACAATCATCTTTCACACTGTACTACCTTGATGACCAAACTTTTACAATCATCTTTTACACTGGTTACCTCTGTGGAGTCTGCTGACTGACAATAGCATTGGCAGTCTCCCTCAGATACACCTCCCAATCTGTTTCAGGGACTTCTTGATCTTCAGTAAAAGGATATCTGTATGACAAAAAGAAAACACAATAAACTAAACGGAAGCATCCTTATTTTCTAAAATGTTTTTGGTGCTAACTGCCTCTAACTCACTGTTGCACTCTGCAGGCTTCACACATGAGTAATGCTTTTCTGAGATTTCTGCAGGACTTCTCTGCAAGTCTACGAGCCAGCTGTGAAGGGAGATTCAGACCTTCCTTCTTGCACACAGTAGATAAAACATTGCAAATCTACAATAAAATAATTTTTTAAAATGAGCAAAGTGTCAAACAGTACCTATATTGAAATAATTTGTTGATAACATCTTCATAGATCCCCTTTTTTTTGGTCACTATCCTACTCTAACCCGCATTCTCCTTCAGCAGGAAGCCAGGGTTCTTGCCTAGCTATCAGGAAGAGGCAGCAGATGGCCCTGCAACTGGGGAAAGACCTGGTGCCTGGTCCAAGGGTCAGATGTTCCCCACCCTGAGTTAGAGAAATACCTGTCAGACATTGGAAGGGTATGGACTTTGGAATAAGAGAGATCTGTGCTTAAATCATGGCTTTGCTGTGGTCAACTTTGTTGACTTAAACTACCCGAGTCTTAGTTTAAGTCAACAAAGCCTTCCAGCCTCCTCAGGGTAGCTGGGAGGAGACACAGGGGCCCAGGTTGGTGGCAAAAATAGGGCTGCCAAGTTGAGCCACCTGTCCTGAATCCCACAACTAAGAAAGCCTTATTTGCATGGACTAAGACAAGAATGTTGTCCATGGGAGTGGTAAAACTGGTAATCCTGCCTACTTTATAAACCCTTTTAACTGTATTACTCCCAAAATTTGTATAACTGAAACAAAGGTATGAAATAAAGGTATTTTACTACTTTGCGACTAATACAATGTCACACATTATCTATACTTTGCATAAAATTGATCCAAATTATTAATGGCAGGAAAACTGCTTATTGTGAGAATTAAAAATTTTACTGATAGCTATTAAGACTATCACACACACACAGATGGGCAAAATAGGTTTACAGTTGTGAGTGACATTCTGAGTTAAGAAAGCTACTATAATAATTATAATAATTATAACCTGTATTTTTTTCCATATAAACAACTATAAATCTATTTTGCTCATTCCTGTATATAATGTTGGTCCCCTACCTACACAGTTGGTATTCTCACATTATATCCTGGCAAAACCTATTACTTCCATACTCAAGTCTCCTCCAAAGCCAAGTAAGTCAGGTTGAGGTAAAAGATACTAATTACCTAATCTCTCCATAGTTTAGTAAAATTCGTTATATAATTAAACATCGGTTCTCAAACTGAATTCATTCTGGAAGACTGTTCAAGAAGCAATTTGTTCGAAAATGAAACAATTTTTTACCATTAGAAATAATGTAAACTGAATTCATTCCAGACCTCCAAATGATTCCTTGTATTAACCTTGTTTATATACAGTACATGTCTAATATACTGTTTAATCTATAAACAAACTGTTTTTCTTAAATTTATCAAACCTCTCCCTACTGACCTTAAAGAAATCACTTTTACCGCTCATTCCAGGGGCGTCTTTCAGAAGTCAGCATGCATTGTCTTTGCTTTTTCACATATCACTGCCTTGGAAATGCTGTCACAGACTAACTGGTTTTCCTTTGTCCAAATCAACAGTTTTTCTACCTCTTCAACTGCCTGTGATCACTGTTTCTTTCACACCCTTAGAAACATTAGCACTCTTGATGGCCTCTTTATGTTTTAAAATTGTATTAATCATCCATTTTACCAGCAACAAAAGCAAAAAGATAAAATAAATAAAACCACAAAAATATTCACAGCACAATTTCCTAAAATGTTAACAATGTGAGGTTTAGGGGTAAACTGACTAGCATTCTCTCCTTTGTTTATGGCTATTTCTCATGCTGAGGCATTAGTATAAAAGGGATGTTCAACAAGTGAGATTTTTTTTTTTTTTTTTAACATCTACTTGGTTGAGAACCCAATTGTTAGAAATAGGAGACATTTGAGAACCAAGGTTTGACTGTACCTACTTGTTTAAGGTAAAGGATAATTTAAAGCAAAGAACACTTTTCCTATATTGGTATCAGGTATTTACTACTATATATTGTTTTTTGCATCTACTAATGATTAGTATCCAGATCACAGATATTCCTGAATTACTGACACACTTCACTGCAAGTGAAAACAAAAAATCTGACTTACTTCCTCAATGCTGGGAGCAGGCACACGAACTGCCAGACACCTACTACGAATGGGTGGTATCACTTTAGATGTAGAATTGCAACACAAGATCAATCTGCAGGTAGACATATACTTTTCCATGGTTCTACGCAAGGCATGTTGAGCATCTCTGGTGAGTTTGTCAACCTCTGTCAACAAAACCACTGAGAGAAGGAGAAACAAAAACTTTACTTGCACATTTTAGGATCAATCTTTTCTTCTTCCTCTTCATTATTCATTCAGCATGAAATCCTAAATAGTAATCCTGATATATTGCTCTTCCCTTTGACAAGAACATATGAAAGTTACAGGTACAGTAAGAATAATTTATTTTTATTTTTAAAATTCTATAATAAGCCTAAGAAATTCTAGGCTAAATGAAGTTAAAGAGGTTAATTTGATATAGAATTCATTCTAGCCTTTATAATATTTATTGGATGCCTGGTGCACAAGATTCATGCACTGGGTGGGGGGGAGGGTCCTTCAGCCCAGACTGCGTCCCCTTGCAGTCTGGAACCAGGGGATGTCCGCCTGCTGGCTTAGGCCTGATCCCCCCAGACATCCTTTTCACAGCCTAGGGCTTTCACAGTCCGAGACCCCTCGCTGCTTTACCACCTGCCTGCAGCGGACATGGGAGAGGCTCCCACCACTTCTGCCTGAGCAGTTCTCCCCTATAAGAGCACACTGACCACCAGGGGCAGCTCATGCATTGAATGTCTGCCCCCTGGTGGTCAGTGTGCATCATAGGAACCAAGTCATTCTTCCTTTCAGTCGATGTGCATATTATGTTTTCATTATATGGGATTATTTAGTATACGCACTAGAAAGAGAATCATCAAAACAAGGGTGTATAGTGCTACATTTTCCAAAAATATTTTACTATCTCAATAGCATAATGATCATGGAACATCTTTTTATCAGGGGTGGGGAACGTCCAGCCCAAAGGCTATATAAGACCCATGAAATCATTTTGTCTGGTCCTGCCAAGGTATTAGCAGTGAGTTAATTAACTGTTTGACCAAATATAGCAGGCTAATTTTAAGTTGATAATTTTGTATGGCCCAGAAATGCTGTTATAAATATGCATATGGACGTTAGCAGAAAAAAGATTTCTCACTGCTGTCATAAATCGTAGCATTCTAAGGAATATACTTTGAAAAACAACTGGCACAGAGTTGTAGCAAACAAGACAAAAAGACATCTGGTTACTTGTATAGTAAGTTTCTACCTGGCCAAAATTAGTCTTAAGATTAGGCCTTAAAATTTTTCAAGAATAATATGTAGGTACAGACTGAATCCAACTGCTGTATTATTCATCATACCAATTTTTGTCTAGAAGTGTTAGTGGTAGCATTGTAGCATTCCAATCTCTCCTATATAAACAGACAGAACTAAATATTCCAAGACCAAAGACCCATGAACAACTTTTATACCAAAACATAGTAATAAGCTTTACCTAAGAACCCCAAATACTAGAAAATGAAAATACTGGTAAACAATTATGCATGAGTGGAAGTGGCTAGGATCTAGAAGGTTTCTGATGGCTGTTAGGGCAGGAGAACCCAAAATCACCCACAAGAAAATTATAGAAAGCATCAAGGGCTAAGATGAGAACAGCATCAATAGGGTGAGCTCATGGCTGAGAACAATGGAACCTTGATGTAATAAGGTTTGACAGAGCACTAGACTGAAAATAACAAAATGGAAGTGCCCCTCTAAGACAATGTTTCACAATGAGAAGAAATTCTGGACAGAGAATCCAAATAATTGAACAGAATAGGAAAAAGAGAGACAAAAAGATTGATCCTGAAATGTGACCAAAATAGAACCAAACAGAAAGTAGGAAAACCCTTGCCGAAACCAGTTTGGCTCAGTGGATAGAGCGTCGATCTGTGGACTGAAAAGTCCCAGGTTCAAATCCAGTCAAGGGCATATACCTTGGTTGTGGGCACATCCCCAGTAGGGGGTGTTCAACAGGGAGCTGATCGATGATTCTCTCACATCGATGTTTCTAACTCTCTATCCCTCTCTCTTCCTCTCTGTAAAAAGTCAATAATATATATATATATATAAAGGAGGAAAACCCAACTGATACAAAAATAAATCTGGTAGTAGGAAAATAGAAGCATATCTATAAAATTAAAGCATGACCAAATGAGTTTTAGTCTAGAAATGCAAAGCAGTTTCATTAGGAGAACCAGTAATCTACACTAATAAGAGAGAAACATGCAAACTGACCATACCTCCACCACACCCACCAGCCAATCAGGAGCCAGTATGCAAATTAACCAAACAAAGATGGCGGCAGCCACAGAGCTGGAGTGAGTAGGAGGCTTGGGCTGACCCCAGGATGGAGGAAGCCAAGCTTCCCACCCACCCTGGCCAGCCTTGGCCTCTGCTCAAGGCTACAAAGTTTTAATTATAGAAGATAAATAAATCCCAGATACCTGCTTCTAGCCAGCCCTGGCCTCCACTCAAGGAAGTGCTTAAAAAAAAAAATGGAGGGGCTGGGAGCCTGGATCACTGGGGGGCGTGGCCAGCTTGAAAAGGGCCCTCAGCCCCACACCCAGGCTGCCCCATGCCCCAAGGGAACCCCCACCCTGATCCAGGACACCTTTCAGGGCAATTCAGCCGGCCCCCACCCATGCACCAGGCCTCTATCTATACTAATAAAAGGGTAATATGCTAATTAGACTGGGAGACCTTCCAGATGTTCTTCTGGACAAAGCCATGGTGGTGGGCCTGAGGATGAGGCAGTTAGAGGCCAAGAGGGAGGGCAGTTGTGGGTGATCAGGCTGATGGGGGCGAAGTAGTTGGAGGTAAGCTGGTCAGCAGGGGGGCCAGTTGGGGGTGAGCAGGATAGGCGGGGGAGGGGCAGTTTGGAGTAGCAGGCCAGCAGGGGGGCAGTTGGGGGCAAGCAGACCAGTAGGAAGGGAAGATAGGATGATAAAAACTCCCAGCAAAGTGGGAATAGAGGGAAAATACACTTACATAATAAAGGCCATATATGACAAACCTACAGCCAACATCGTACAGCCAAGTCACTCTCTCATAAGGCAAAGGACATCAATCACCAGCAGACTTTTACTATCCAAGCAGATTTTGCCTCCCACCTCCCCGCCCCTGGTGGCAGTGGGGGGGTGTTGAGGGGGAGCAATTGCTGTTTTGATAAAAACTCCCAGCAAAATGGGAATAGAGGGAAAATACACTAACATAATAAAGGCCATATATGACAAACCTACAGCCAACATCGTACTCAATGGGCAAAAACTAAAAGCATTCCCCCTAAGAGGCACAAGACAGTGATGTCGACTTTCACCACTCTTATTCAACATAGTACTGGAAGTCTTAGCCACAGTAATTAACAAGAAAAAAAAAGTGGGAAGTTGAAAAGGAGTAAGTAAATTGAAAAGAAGTAAAACTCTAATTATTCACAGATGACATGATATTGTACATGGAAAATCCTAGAGACACCATCAAAAACGCTACTGGATTTAATAAATGAATTCAGCAACATAGCAGGATACAAAATCCTGCTATTATTATTTAGTGTATTTAAATGCCAGAAATAGATAGCATTTCTATACACTAAAAATAAATTCTCAGAAAGAGAAACCAAACAATCACATTTATTATTAACATTAAAAAAAAATTAAGATACTTAGAAATTTAACCAAGGAGGTAAAGACTTGTACTCAGAAAACTATAAGACATTGAAAAAAGAGGTAGAAGAAGACAAAAGCAAGTGGAAGAATATACCATGTTCAATGATTGGTAGAATTAACATCATTAAAATGTCTATACTACCTAAAGCAACATATAGATTCAATGCAATTCCTTTTAAAATACCAACAGCTTATTTCACATATCTAGAACAAATAAATACTCCAAAAACTAATATGGAACCAAAAAGGACCCCGAATAGCTACAGCAATCTTGAGAAAGAAGAACAAAGTTGAAGGTATTACAATACCATATATCAAGTTGTATTACAAAGCCACTTTGCTCAAAACAGCTTGATACTATCACAAGAACAGGCATAAAGATCAATGGAACCAAACAGAGACCCCCAAAATCACACCAAGTCACTATGCTCAATTAATATTTGACAAAGGAGGCAAGAGCAAACAATAGAATCAAGACAGTCTCTATAATAAACGGTGTTGGGAAAATTAGACAGATACATGCACAAAAATGAGGCTAAACCACCAACTTATACCATACACAAAAATAAACTCAAAATGAATAAAAGACTGAAATGTAAGTTGGAAATCATAAAAATCCTAGAAGAAACCATAGGCAGCACAATCTCAGACATCTCTCGTAGCAATATGTTTACAGATACATCTCCTAGGGCAGGGGTCGGCAACCTGCGGCTCCGGAGCCTCATGTGGCTCTTTTGAACCTTTGCTGCGGCTCCCAGCAGAGCCGACAGCAGGGGGCGGGCGGGGAGCTGTATCACTTACCTCTAATACTAATTTTTGTTGTTGGTTAAGCATGGGAGACAGGTCCTTTTGTAAGATGTACACTGTAGGAAATTTGTGGCTATTATATAAAAATTTTTTTAAATAAATTAATTAAATTATTATTTACATTTTTAAATTTAATTTACTTAATTTAATTTACAGAATATTGGGGGGCCTGATGAATTATTTTTATGGCATGTATGGCTCACTAATTAATTTACAAAATATTGGGGGCCTGATGAATTGTTTTTTTAAAAAAAGGTGACTTGTTGAGGTGGGCGCAGGGGCGGGGTGGGGAGGGAGCAGCCGTGCTCACCGGGGCTCTCTTTCGGTTTGCTCCGGAGGCGCGGACCCCCCCACGCTGAGGCGCTTCTCCTCCTCCAAGCGCCCCCGGTCCCGGTCCCGGGGCTTGGGGATGCCCGCCAGCATGTTCAGCATTGACAACATCCTGGCTGCACGGCCTCGCTGCAAAGATGCGGTGCTGCCGGTGGCTCCGGACCCCGCTGCCCCTGTCGTCTTCCCGGAGCTGCACGGGGACTGGCTCTACAGCGCCGTCAGCAGTGCTGCCTCCTCCCCGGACTACGGCCAAACAAGGGGTGAGGATATCTGTAAGGCTGTCCTGGACTATTTAAGTGCCGAAAAAATAAACACCAACCACCTGGTCTCAGTGGCTACTGATGGGGCACCGAGCATGAGAGGAGCACAGAAGGGCTTTGTGGCTCTACTGCAGAAGGCTCTGGGTAGAACGCTGCTCTCATTTCATTGCATCCTGCACCAAGAGGCATTGTGTGCTCAAACATTTCCCCCGGAATGCACAAAAGTGATGGATGTGGTCATTCAGATTGTTAATAAGATAATGGCAGAGGGTTTAACCCACTGCCAGTTCCGTTTGCTATTGGATGAGGTGGAAAGCATATATTCTGACCTCCTGCTCCACAACAAGGTCCGGTGGCTGTCCAGAGGTGAGGTGCTAAAACGCTTTGTCACATCTTTGGAAGAAGTAAAAACTTTTCTGGCCAGCAAAGAGTTCACCTTTCCTGAGCTGGAACAACCAGAGTGGCTGGAAAAATTACATTTTATGGTAGACATGACAGCACATCTAAACACACTAAATACTACCCTTCAGGGGAAAGGAGGCACAGCCCTGCACATGCTGGAGGAGGTTTTGGCATTCGAGCTCAAGTTGACAGTGTTTGTCAAAGATTTACAGAGAGGTACACTGTCTCACTTTCCCTCTTTGAGAGAGTTCAAACAAAGTCATGATATGATAAATTTGTAATATTTGAAGTCTGCAATCACCACAATGCAAAGTTCGTTTGGGAAACGATTCTGTGAGTTCAGAGAGGAAAAAAACACATTATCCTTCCCTGTCACTCCCCTGGCAATCGATCCATTCCTATTGAATATGACTGCATTTGCAGGTGTAAGTCAACCTGATCTTGAGATGGAACTGGCCGATATAGCCGACAAAGATATATGGGTGTCCAAGTTCAAATGCTTGGCTGCTACTCTTGAGGATGTTGCCCATCAGAAGGCCATTCTGGCTCAGAATCATAAATGGAGTGATATTGAAAACCTTCCCAAACAGGACAAACTTGGGTTCGAAACATGGAATGCCATCCCCAACACTTATATAAACATGAAAAAGTATGCATTTGGAGTCCTGTCGATCTTCGGCTCCACATATGTATGTGAGCAGGTCTTCTTCAACATGAACTATATTAAAAACAAACATTGATCACGCCTCACAGATGACAACTTGCAAGCCTGTGTAAAAATGAAGGTAACGTCTTACAGCCCTGATGTGCAGACACTGTGCACTGATGTTCAGGAGCAAAAATCCCATTAACCAGGTAAATTAAATATTTTAATTAGCTATTAATTTGCAAAAATATATTTTACATTGTTAAGTGGAAAAGTCCTTTTTTTCTTCAGATTGACAGCTAACTGCACGATCCGGTATATAGCATTAAGGTAAGAAACAATATATGCAGTGTTATATTTGTTTTAAATGTCGCAATGGTTTTGCAGCTCCCAAGTTTTTTTTTTTCCTTCAAAAATGGGTCCAAGTGGCTCTTTATGTCTTAAAGGTTGCCGACCCCTGTCCTAGGGCAAAGGAAACTACAGAGAAAATAAACAAATGGGACTACAACAAAAGAAAAATCTTCTGCACAGTGAAATAAATGATCAACAAAATGAAAAGAGAGCCCACTGTATGGGAAAATATATTTGGCAATGATACATCTGATAAATGGTTAATATCCAAAATATATAAGGAACTCATACAAATTAACAAAGGAAGATGAACAATTCAATTAAAAAATGGGCAAAGAAACTAAATAGACACTGGAGAAGTGTCTATTTAATAAGAGACATGAAAAATGCTCAAAGTCACTGATCATCAAAAAGATGCAAATCAGAAGGGTAATGAGTTATCACCTCCCACCTGTCAGAATGACTACCATCAACAAATGGCAAGTGCTGGCAAGGATGTTGCAAAAAGAGATCCTTAGTACACTGCTAGTAGGAATGCAAACTGATGCAGCCACTATGGAAAACAGTATGGAGTTTCCTCAAAAGAATTAAATTATGTAACTGCCATTTGACCTAGCGACTCCACTTCTAGGAATATATCCTAAGAAACCCGAAACACCAAACAGTATGCCTACTATTTTCATTATAGGGTAATTTACAATAGCTAAGATTTGCAAACAGACCAAATGTCCATCAAGTGGATAAAAAAAGCTATGGTACATTTATAGCATGGAATACTATGCAACAGTAAAAAAGAAGCATCTCTCACCCTCTGAGACATCCTGGATGGGCCCGAAGAGTATTGTGCTAAGCGAAATAAGCCAGTTAGAAAAAGAGAAGTATCTCATGGTCTCAGTCATATGTGTGAACAAAATAATGAACAAAATAACTGATGAAGAAAATAATCCAGAGATATAGAAGCTTGGAAGAGACTGTGGAACCTCAGAGGGAAGGTGGAGATAAGTGGTACAGATCAACCAAATAAGATGTATGCATATATTCATTATCCATGGACAACAGGGTGGTGAAGGCCTAGGGTGGGAGGCAGATACGGCTGACAGGGGTCAACAGGGGGAGGGGGATAAATGGGACGGTAAATGGGACGTATGTAATACTTTCAACAACATAGATTTTTAAAAAAAATAATGTGTAGCCGAAACCGGTTTGGCTCAATGGATAGAGAGTTGGCCTGCGGACTGAAAGGTCCCAGATTCAATTCCGGTCAAGGGCATGTACCTTGGTTGCGGGCACATCCCCAATAGGGGGTGTGCAAGAGGCAGCTGATCGATGATTTTCTCTCATCGATGTTTCGAACTCTCTATCCCTCTTCTTCCTCTCTTTAAAAATCAATAAAAAATATTTTAAAAATAAATAAATGTGTACATATATACAATACATACATATAAATGATAATGCAAATTAATGACAAATGCACCACAATAATTTTAATTCAATGGTGGGATTATTGCTTAATTTTCTTTTTGTCTATTTAGATATTTGATAACAAACATATAACATTGGTCCTAACATTTCCCCCCCCAAATATATTTTTTATTGTTGATAGTATTACAAATATCTCCCATTTAAGGCCAGTTATTTTTTCTAAATCCTATAATCTTAGCAGTACAAATACATAACCCTCTTTCCACCAAAATCTAGTTCCATGGAACTGTATGTAAACTCCCAGGAGAACAGAGATCACGATTCTCTTACTTTTATATTTCCTACCCCCAAAAGTAGCATAATCCTTGACAATAATAGTTAATAAATATTTGTTAAATGGATGAAATTTACAAATTCCCACTACATTTTCTCTCATATGCATTTCTTACAATTTGAGTGTCTGTCTAATGAAAAGAATTTTATTTTATTTTTTACCATACCTTTAAAGTCTCTTTGAGAGTTTGTTTCAAGTTGCTGTGATTGTGCCACTGTTTTCAACATCTCCTGAATTACTACCCGGTCACTATTTCCAGCATCACTATATAAACAGAAATAATGATTAAAAACACACACACATATCATTATATGAAAATAATGATTAAAAAAATACACACACACACACAATTGAAAGTATTATGCCCTTATTGTTAATATAAGGAAAATGTTGAAGATATTAAGTAGTTACAAGTTTAATAAAAATTAATAAAACTTAAATTACATTCACAAGATTTTAAAACTGAGATATATTAGGGTTACTAAAAAATACTAACAATATTCCATATTTAATTACAATTAATTAATCACTGAAAACACTAAATTTACTGTTACTTAAAAAGAGCAATAAGTAATAACAGTGACAATTACTTTAGCACTTCTGTATACACTACAATTACTATTAGTTACAACTAATTTTCTTGATAATCTAGAATTACTCAAAATATAGAAATAACTATTTGAAACAAATTTAACTTCCATTCTTTTTCCCCATCATCAAAACAGCAAAGATCTGAGAAAGAACAACTCTAGACACACCTGCTCCCTGCACTAGCATGGAGCTGATTCCCTTAGCAAGGGAATGAGATAAGCAAATGAAATTTAAGATACAAAGTCAGAATTCCATAAGCTGTTGACTTATTATAGGCATTATCTGTCATTTATACCCATATATTGCTTTAGCATTTAAGTCATGTGCTTCACAAACCAACCTGTTACCAGGTTAATTTAGGCTGAATGTCAATTTCAAACACCTGAAAAACAATCAGCTTAACCTCTCATTGACTATTCTTGCTCCAGAGGAACTCACAATGAGAAAAAGAGAGCAAAGCTCTCAGCTTTATTTTCCCAGTCATAAAAATCTTTCCCAATTCACTATTATTACGTCAAAATACCTACAGTGTCTTTTTTATAATTTTCTAGTCAAGAATCTAAACCATTTTCCTTTTGTCTATGGAATTAAAACTTTTTCTACATTTATGATCAGATCCTTCCCACCAACCTTATTTCTCTATCTAATTTTCTTTGATATAACCAGGGAAAATCCTATATAATAAAAGGCTAATATGCAAATCAACCAAACAGCGGAACAACCGGTTGCTATGATGTGCACTGACCACCAGGGGGAAGATGCTCAATGCAGGAACTGCCCCCTGGTGGTCAGTGTGCTTCCATAGGGGGAGTGCAGTTCAGCCAGAAGCCCGGAGCCAGGCTCATGGCTGGTGAGTACAGCGGTAGTGGTAGGAGCCTCTCCCGCCTCCGCAGCAGCGTTAAAGATGTCCGACTGACGGGGGAGCAGGCCTAAGCTGTCAGTCGGACATCCGCAGTCCAGATCGAGGGACCCCCCCACCCCCAGTGCACGAACTTTGTGCAGAGCCTCTAGTAATACCCATCAGGATTGTTTTGAGGGCTAAATATAATATCCATGTAAAACTTTTCTCAGGGAGCCTTATACTGAATACATATCTATACTAATAAAAGGCCAGGCATCATGAAAGAATTACCAGAGACAGCAGACCACCACCCAAGCAAGTGATTAGGAGCAATCAAGCAGGCAGGCAGGCAGAATGATTAGGGGAGATCAGGTAGGCAGACGGACCCTTGCCGGGCAGGTCCTACCCCAAAGCAAGCGGTTAGTGGCAATCAGGCAGGCAGGCAGGCAGAGCTGTTAGGGGAGATCAGGTAAGCAAGCAGAGTGGTTAGGGGTGATCAGGTAGGCAGGCAAGTATTTAGCGGCGATCAGGTAGCAGATGGCCCCTCACAGGGCTGGCCCTGCCGCCAAGCAAGCAGTTAGGTGTGATCAGGCAGGCAGGCAGGCAGGCAGGCAGACAGGCAGAGTGGTTACGGAGATCAGGCCCCGCCCTTTAGCAAAGAAAGAGGGAGGCCCAGGCCAGCCAAGCCATCGCATCCCAGCCTGCAGAGGGAGGACAACAGTGGCAGGGGAGGGAGGACAGCACCGCACAGATGGCAAGCAGTGGCAGTGGAGGGCGTGGGGCCAGCTGCCTGCAGCCAGGGGAAGTAAAGCCCACTGGGCCCTGATCTCAGGCCAGGCCTAACGACCCCACCTGAGTGGTCCCAGATTGTGAGAGGGTGCAGGCTGGGCTGAGGGAAGCTCCTGCCCCCTAGTGTACAAATTTTCATGCACTGGGCCTCTAGTTAGCTTATAATCCTACTAGAGGCCCAATGCACAAAATTCATGAACAGGGTGGTAGTGTCCCTGAGACCACCCTGTATCCTCTCCAATCTTGGACCCCTTGAGGGATGTCAGACTACCCATTTAGGCACAATCTAGGACTGCTGGCTCCCAACCGCTCGCCTGATGGATTTTCCCTAACTGCTTCTGCCTGCCAGCCTGATCACCCCCTAACCACTGCCCTGCCAGCCTGATTGATGCCTAACTGCCCCCCTGCCAGATCAACTGCCCCTAACTGCCCTCCCCTGCCAGCCTGGTCAACCCTAACTGTCCTCCCCTGCTGGCCTGGTCACCCCCAACTGCCCTCCCCTGCTGACCCAGTAACTCCTACTGCCCTTCCCTGCCAACCTGGTTACCCCTAACTGCCCTCCCCTACAGGCCTGGTCCCTCCCAACTGCCTTCCCCTGCTGGCCTGATCGCCCACAACTGCCCTCCCCTGCCGGCCATTTTGTGTCCACATGGGGCCAGCCATCTCCTCTATTGGGAGTGATGCTCAATTTGCATATTACTCTTTAATTAGATAGATTCCTTCTACTCCATTCAATCTTATTCATTAGTTCTGAATGAGTTATTATTTTAACTTACTAAATACTTTGTATAAAACACCAAGCTCTGTAAAGCAAGAAAACTTAATTATCAAAATTATTTGAATGAGGGGTTCTCAGAGAAAAGACAAAGTGAGAGGGTCTAGGCTAACCACACTAGGCAGCTTCACTTTTATCTGTTTATATACTGTGTTTTCATACATGATTTTAATTTAAGAAAGGATTCTACTCTTTAAAATAAAGGTCTGAACATCACTATACTAAAAATCCTTATTTAGCCCTGGCTGGTGTGGTTCAGTGGTTAGAGTATCAGTGTCAGGTTCAATGACAGGTCTAGGGCATGTGCAGGAAGCAACCAATTGACGTGTCTCTCTCACATCAATAGTACTTTCTTTCTCTCTCCTTCCCTCCCTCCTTTCCACTCTTCTCTAAAAATCAATGGGAAAAATATCCTCGGGTGAGGATTAACAAAAAATAATAAAAATAGTTATTTTTATACAGTAGCAGCTTACCTGGGATTAACTTCAAGGTGGTAATTGCTTGCAATAGTGCTAATTTCAATTTTCTTTTTAGATGGAGTCTGTGGACAAAGAAAACAGATGTTTTTAACATTCATTTATTAGCTAGCTCTCCTCTTTCCTGTATTTCACTGTTTTGTTTTGTATTATTATACTGGAGGCCCAGTGCATAAATTTATGCAAAGGGGGGTGTCTTTCAGACTGGTCTGCATCCTCTCACAATCCGGAACTGATGGCTCCTAACCACTTGCCTGCCTGCCTAATCACCCCTAACCACTCCGTCTGTCTGATCACCCCTAACAGCCTCGGCCTTGACCCCTGCCGCAGCTTCTACCAGGACATCCGGAAGGTTGTTCAGCTGTCCGGTCTACTTATCATATTATGCTTTTACTAGAGGCCTGGTGCAAGGAATTCGTGCACAGGGGCAGAGGGGTGTCCATCAGCCCAGCCTGTACCCTCTCTAATCTGGGATCCCTCTCACAATCCAGGACTGCTGGCTCCCAACTGCTCACCTGTCTGCCTTCCTGATTGCCCGTTTCTGCCTGCCCGCCTGATAACCCCCTAATCCCTCCCATGCCAGCCTGTTTGATGTCTAACTGCTCCCCTGTCAGCCCATTTGCCCCCAACTTCCCTCCTCTGCCGGCCTGGTCACCCCTAACCTCCCATGCAGGCTTGATTGCCTCCAACTTCTCTCCCTTGAAGGCCTGATCCTTCCCAACTACCCCTCCCCTGCAGGCCATCTTGTGTCCACATGGGGGCAGCCATATTGTGTTGGAGCGATGATCTATCTACATAATATCCTTTTATTAGATAGGATAGAGGCCTGGTGCACAGGCGGGGGCCAACTGGGTTGCCTTGAAGGGTGTCCCAGATCAGGGTGGGGGTTCCCTCAGGGTGTGGGGTGGCCTGGACGAGGGGCTTGTGGTGGTCTGCAGGCCGGCAACGCCTCGTGGCGACCCAAGCAGAGGCCCTGGTATGTGGGTTTATTTGCCTTCTACAATTGAAACTTTGTAGCCTGAGTGGAGGCTTAGGCCGACTAGGGTGGGTGGAAAGCTGAAAGCTTGGCTTCTTCCTCTGCTGGGAAACGCAAGCCTCCCTCCTGCTCTATGGCTATAGCCATCTTGGTTGGGTTTATTTGCATACTCACTCTGATTGGCTTATGGGCGTGGCTGAAGTGATGGTTAATTTGCATATTCTTTTATTAGGTAGGATTTTATAAATAATGCTTACTAAAATTTTAAAGAACCACCAATAATATTTTAACTTCATTAATACCATTCTTTTATTACTGTGCAGATAAACATTTTTATACAAATTACGTCAGTCTGTTTTTATTGAGTTTACATTTTTCCTCTACCTCCAGAAATCTCCAAACCATTTTGTTATCAGATCATCTTTGTACACAACCTATATGTCCTGTTACAGCCTTTCCCATAACACACAAAAATAAATAACACACACACACACGTGTTTCTTGTCAAAAATAAAAGAGGCAAACATATTTCGCTGTTTTGCTTTTCTTAACAACACAACTAGGCCAGTGGTCAGCAAACTCATTAGTCAACAGGGCCAAATATCAACAGTACAATGATTGAAATGTCTTTTGAGAGCCCAATTTTTTAAACTTAAATTTCTTCTAACTCCAGTTCTTCAAAATAGACTTGCCCAGGCCGTGGTATTTTATGGAAGAGCCACACTCAAGGGGCCCAAGAGCCACAAGTGGCTCACGAGCTGCAGTTTGCTGACCATAGAACTAGGCAATTCGTCTCAGACAAAGTGGAATAGGGTGTTAAGATTTGCACTTGAATCTATAACATGGGTATCTCAAAAACTAGTCATATTGATGGGCATTTTAATTTTTGCTTTTTGCCATTTCAAACAATTCCATAATTAACATCCTTGCACATGTCTCTTGCACTGCTTTCACTTCCATGGCAATAGGTTCCCAATAAAGAATTTGCTCGATTTTTCTAACATAACTGACTCTGGGCTGGTTATAATGAAGTCAAAAAATCAGTAGCTCTCAATCCTGAATGCCAGGATTACCTGTGAAATTCTTACTTAAATCATATATGGGGCAGCAATGGGAGAGGGCAATGTATTAATGATGAGGACTGAAAATCCCCACTATAAATATTTGAAGGGCCTCAACATGAAATGCTTACTGTGATGGTCTGATGTTCAATTCTCAGTTTTTCCACTCCAACACCATAAAGTTCACGTAAAATACACATAATTCTTGTCTTTTTACCAGCACCTGATGGACCATACACTAACAAATGAGGAAAGTCACCACACTGTACCTGGGAAAAGAAAAAAAATCAAACAATGATGCATTTTCCTAATCACACAATTGTTCTGGGTAGAATTAAACTTTTTTTAAGTATCAGTATTTTGAAACTATGAAACTTCATATATATATGTATGTGTGTGTATGAATGTACATATAGAGATTTTCTTAAAATTATGGAATGTTTATTCCCTGGCATTAATTTTATGTAATTATATACCTAGCATACATGCATGATACAATACCATGTGCTAGAAAGTAAGAACTCCCAAACCTGGCTGACTGTCAGAATCTCCTAGGGAACTTTTTAAATTAAAAGACTGATTGGTTATTAAATTCATTCCATCAAATTATGATTCAGTAACTAAAATTAATATCTGTCACAGTTTGGGTTTCCACACATAGTCCCTTTGATAAGAACTGAGTGCATTTGGACTATTAGTCAAGTAAAGAAAAATTTTGTAGGGAAGCAAAGGGAAAAGAAGGCAGAGTGTATTATCAACTTAAATATCATTCTGAGCACCTGAGACTTGATCTTGCTGGGGATCATGAAGCTAAAGTTAAAATACACCACAGTTTTACCCCTCAAGGGTACAGAAGATGGAGTCTGACATGCTGTCTCTCATCAATCAATCCTTTGATAAAGCTAGACTGGAAAAGTGGAGGGGGGAGTAGTGAACATTCACAGGCATTTCAAGTCAATTTAGGGGTGTCAGCAAGGGAAAGCCTCAGGAAGTGCAAATACAGGGAGGTGAAAGTCAGTCTTTGTGCACTTACAAGAAAGAACAAGGGGGAAAAGAGCACTAATAGTGCTGCATTCCAGTACAAGACTGTGTTTTTTATAATGTTTCCCAGGTGACACTGATGATCAATCTGGTTTAGAATTTATAATATGAAGGCTATAAAGATGAAAACACATCTGTGCCTCGGATATACACTTGAGTGGCCAGATTATGATGATCTTTATATAGGATATACATTTAGTGTCCAGATTATTATGCACTCAGAGATAACAATCTGACCACTCAGTGTATAAAATCTTATGGAGCAAGTTTTGTAAAAGCATTGTAGAAAAATAAGTATCTTAAGAGAAGTACTTTTACAGTAAATTTTAACACTTTGTAAGCTCATCTAACTCTGGCACTGAAAAAAAAAATGTCTCAAGGAAAGAGACTATTCAACTAATAATACATGCTCCTCAAATACTAGCTGCTTTTGTTTTTTTAATCTTCAATCTAATAAAAAAATAATAATTATGCTTTAAATGTTTCATAGTTTTATTAAACTGTAGACTCAACAATAAACAAACATTTTTAAAAGCAAATCTGTTAACTCATGATTATATTAAGTTTTTGTCCAAAACATTTATTCCAAATTTTATAAAAATGCCAGATTATGTAAAATGTATCTTTCATCTAAGAAAAATGAGTGAAAGCTATTGTGAGAAAGTGCTATTTGTCTATAAATAAAGTATACAGATATAACAGGTTTATTTTTAATTAGCACAGATGGAATACCAGTAATTAACGAAGAAGAAAAAACCTATCTCACAACACTATCAATTCTTCTAATGACCATCATATAAACGGATGGAGTTCCCTTTTTTTTTTTTTTTTATTAGTTCTCGTTTTTAAAAAGTACTTAAGTAGTACCTCTAATTGGTGAGCAAAAACACTTTTAGCAGCACGTGGTAGTTTTAGGTCCTTGAAAGGGGTGGATAAATGGCTTCCAGAGACACAAGATTCTTCTGAAAACCCTTTTCCCTGTCCACTCCCTACAAAATTTAGTTCGCTTCTCATAAACATTCCCATCAGCATTTTATAAACGATAACATAAAAACAGGCATCAGAATGGGGGAGAGGGAGAGGGTTTTCCACACGGAATTACACTCAAGGACAACCTAATTAACTTATTTTAGAATTATAAATGACCTTAGAAATTAATAAGCCAAATACCTTCCCATCTGTAAAGGAGGACAATGACACCAGGAAATATTAAGAAAGCTGGCTTTTAAAAAAATCCGCCCGATGACGTCACTTCTCTGCTCCAAGCCTTCCTAAGGCTTCCCCCCCACCCCTGGAATTTACTGACTTGGCACCCCATCCCAGACACACTATCCCATTTCCTGTCTCTTCCCTCAGGCGACCCGGGCTGGCGGACCCCGGAGGCGGCACACACGCCGGTCCCCGGGACTCTGTGCTGTTCCCCCCCGCACCGCACCGGGCTTTCCACTCCACCCGGCCTCGCGGGGCTCAGAGGCCGGCTCTCAGCCCGCCCAGCCTGCGCACTGGCACAGCCTTCGCCCTTCCCGCGCCCTCCGCCCTCACTGCGGTATTGTCCCCCACGGCAGCGGCCGGCCCCGCCGGGGCGGCCCCTCCCCGCGCCCCGCCGGCGCCTCACCAGGCTGCGCAGCCCGGCCGCCTGCTCCCGGTGGTAGTCCAGCCGCGCCAGCGAGCAGGGCCGGTACTTGTCGGCCCAAAGGCTCATGGCGGCCGGAGCTCCCGGGTCGGACGCTCGAAAGTCCCGCGCGCGCGCGCTCCACACGGAGCTGCCCGGCAACGGCGGCGCCCCACCCACGTCTCCTGACGTCACCAGCGGGCAAGAGGGCGACTTCAGGGCCTTCCTTACTACGGAAGCCCAGGGCAGACAGAATTGGCCGCCGCCTCGATCCCGTTGACGTCATCGTGTTCATTCTAATCATTTTTCCTTTGTTCTGTGATAGTTCAGGAATTATCCAGCAAAATTTGAAATTTGGTTGTGATATTCTAGGCGTCAAATCTCTGGGTACCCTAGAGAAGCTACTCTCCTTGATCCATTTCGTTATTTATTCATTCATGCTTTCTACAGAAACTTACAAAATATTTACCACGTTGAGCTCTGTTCTTGACACTAGAATATGTCTGGGTTGTGGCTTTCCTCACTTGATGGAAAAAAGTGTCCAGTGATGGGCACCATTTCCACTCCTATTGCACTCCGCACGCTATTCGCTCATTGGCCAGTTTATTGCAGAGAATCCAGTGGAGGGCACAGAGTTTCTAGGGGACAGTTGAAACACTAGATGAAAGTAACCTGAGACCTTGCTTCTTCATCCTTATTGCTTTCCCCACCCAGCACCCACACCCCAAAACAAATAAGGTAATTTATTCGGTAGATGGCCTCATGGATCAGCAGAGATGGACTGAGGAAAGTACAATAAAAGAGGGGAGGAAGTAAAGTCAAAGGAAGAGGGTGTTATAGAGGTCACTTCTGTGGGCAACTAAGGTTGATACCTCTGTACACATCCTGAAGAAAATATAGAATATTTCTTTGAATTGGCTACCAAAGAGAAAATATTCTTCCACCAGCTCCCACACTCTATTGGCTAAGGACTTCCCCTGAAGATGGTACTTCACACACACACACACACACACACACACACACACACACACACCATTCTGTAAAGAGCCTGAATGCTGAGCAGGATCCTGCTGGTGCACATTCCATCAAAGTCCAACCATTTTTTTTTCTTATCTAGCATTCATTTCCTTATCTATCTATTCATCCATTCTTTTATAAAATAGGTAATACTGGGTTTGTACTTTTTATATTAAATTTTCACACATTAAAATATTCCAGGATAATAAAGACAACTTTTATTATTAATAAAAATAATAGAAATATTAACTATGATTTATCAGAGAAGTTGATGCATAGCAAAGAAGTATCTTTCACATAAAAAACAAATGGCACTTCATGAAAATCCCATGGTTCCTCAAGTTCAATGAAGAGGCAGACAGTTTTTTGACTAATGTTATTTTGCCATTTTTCAGTTGACATATGTATTGCTTCAAAAAGGAAATCCAGAAATTCAAGTACTGAGGTGCTATTATATGTCCAGGCTCCTTCAACCAATTGTACCAGTCAAAAATATGTGCTTTCTGGATGACTTCTATTACAAGAGTAAATTTTCTTCTGATTCTTAATTTTTACTTAAAAATTGTTTCCTTTCTAAATTGTATTATTTTATTTTTCTCATGGTAACTCTATTAATTATATTGCAATAAAAAAGGAGGACCTCTGCAATAACACATTGCAAAAATGAAAGCAAAGTAGTCATGTGAAGTAGTTTAGCTCATGACCTAAGTATCTTAGATAGACCTCTGCATCTGTTGGGTATGAACTGGCATTGCTGGTATCCTGGCTCTCAGAAGGGTCTCAGGATGGCAAGCATTGGTAGTGGACAATGGATATGTGGGTGCCATAAATCAGAGAGCACGAAGGGTCTTCTTCCACTGTTCTCTGAGCCATTGGGCCATGCAACGGCACCCATCCAAATCGACTAAAAGCACAAGATTCCTGGATAAAAGGGACTGGAGGGTAGAGAAGCTCATACCTGGTGCTTTTATATTCGATATGACATATATTGTTATTTATGTTTTTACACATGCACGTACCTGTGTATCCACAACCCAGATCAAGATATAGAACATTTTAACAATCCAAGATGGCTCTCCTATACCCCTTTTCATTCAGTAAGTCCCTGGAGTAGCTACAATTCTACATTTTATCATTTTATGTTATTTTCTTTTGTCTTTATCTTCAAGTAAATTAAACTTGATAAGAACAGATACTATACTTGATCTTAGCCGAAAGGCCAAGAAGTGATAATCTTCACATAAATTACTTGTTTTACTCATCGTATATCTACAAAATTCATCCACTTATTATATGTAGCAGTAGGTTGTTTCTTTTTATTGCTATGTAGTGTTCCATTGCATCAATATTAGAGCAGTCTTCATGGGAATGTTAGCAATGCAGTGCTACATAGCCTCTTGCTTGGTTTAATTTTATGCTGTTGACATCTTGAAATTCTTAATGATTTCTTAACAAGGCAGCTAAATTTTCATTTTGCACTGAACCCTGTATATTATCATGATAGTCATGATAAATAGTATATCTCAATTTATTTTTACATTGTACTATTGGTGAACATTTGGGTGTTTTCATATTTAGCTCATAAGAATTACATTGCTAAGCCAGTTGGAGAAAGATAAATATCACATGATCTCACCCATATGTAGGATATAATGATCAACATAAACTGATGAACAAAAATAGATCCAGAGACAAATAGCAGGGGAGATGGGGGTGGCTAGAGATCAACCAAAGGACTTGTATTAGTATAGCCAATGGACACGGACACTGGGGTGCTGGGGGCTTGCCCTCCAAGGTGGGAATGGCAGGGGGAGGGGTTCAATCAGGGCGGGGGGTGGAAAGAGACATATGTAAAACTTTAGACAACAAAAAAGAAATATATTGTTAAACATTCTTGTACATATGTTTGAGATATGTACTAATTTCTATTGACTATGTACATCTAGGAATCAAAGTTGCTGGATGATAAAGGTAGGCAGATGTTCAGCTGCAGTAGATACTGACAAAAGCTTTCCAAAATATTTGTACCAATTTACTAGTACACACGTATCACTAAAGAATAAAAGAAATCCTCTTTTCTTTTTTTATTATGGTAAAATATACATAACATAAAATTTACATTTGAACCATTTACAAGTGAATAGTTCAGCAGGTATTAAGTACATTCACATTATTGTGCAACCATCACCACCATCCATCTCCAAAACTTTTGCATCTTCCCAAACTAGAACTCTGTTCTATCTATCTATCTATCTATCTATCTATCTATCTATCTATAATATCTATCTATGTCTATCTATTATCTATCTATCATTTATCTATCTATCTATCCATCTATCTACCTACCTATCTATCTTTATTGTTGAAAGTATTACAGATGTCCCATTTTTCTCCTACTGACATCCTCCTTCCTGCACCTGCTCCCCATCCCAGGCCTTTACCTCATCACTGTCCATGTCCATGGAGTATCCATATATTTCAGTTAGTCTTTTCCCATCCACTCACCACTGCCTTCCTTCTGAGATTCAACAGTCTCTTCCATGCTTTTATGTCTCTGGATCTATTTTGTCCACCAGTTTATTTTTTTCTTTAGAGTGAGATCATGTGATACTTATCTTTTTCTGACTGGCGTTTTTGCTTAGCATAATATTCTCCAAATCCCTCTATGCTGTCTCATAGGGCAAGAGAGCCTTCCTTTTCACTCCTACACAGTATTCCATGGTATAAATGTACTACGGATTTTTATCCACTCATCTACTGGTGGGCACTTGAGCTGTTTCCAGATCTTAGCTATTTTACTAGTAAATTACGCTGTTATGAACATAGGTGTGCATATATTCTTTCTGATTGGTATTTAGGGTTTCTGAGCACATATTCCTGGAAGGGGATCACTGGGTCAATTGGCAGTTATATATTTAATTTTTTGAGGAAACTCCATCCTGTTTTTCATAGTGGCTGCCTTAGCACAAGGGTTATCATTTTTCCACATCCCTGCCAGCACTTGTCATTTGTTGATTTGTTGATGGTAGTCATTCTGACAAGTGTCTTTTTCAAACTAAGGTTCATCTGCCTGCAGTTCTCAGGCATTTAACCACCATGCTATATTATCTTGTAAATTCAATTCAGACATGTACTCACTCACAGGAATATTTATTACATTCTATTAGCAAAATACTCCATTTTTAGGTGCTCTAGAGACACCCCTTTGCTTTATTTTCTTGATCATTCATATCCACATATATGTAAACAATAATTTTTTTTTGTCATCATTGTCTTAAGGTTCCGGGTTAGCCAGATAGAAAAAAAATTCTCTGTTGAGGTAATAGTAGGGTAGAAGGAAGCCAAGGCAAGAATTATGGTGGGGGGGAGGGAGATAGAGGAAAAGCTCACAATGTTTATTAAATCCAAATGTATGTGTTTTTTTTTCAGAGTGGCTCCCTTGGAAATCCCTCTCTGGCCACACAACACTATATGAGTGTCATTCCAGATGGGTGCCTAAAACATATTCTCCAAAGTCAGGCCAAGAGACAAGGTGAATATCTCACTCTTCAGTGCTCTCCTGGTCTTGCTTCTCACTTTCCTTTCTTGTCTCACCTTCGTGGATCTAAAGGCAGAATTTAGTCTTTTGTATTTTTCTTCTAAGTAAATAATACCATATTTTTTGAGAAAAAGTAGAATAATAAAACATTTAAAAATCCAATTTATTTAAGAGTTTGAACAATTTTTTAAAAAGTTGTTTTGTTCTCAGTCTTGCTGGATGTTCAACCTAGTGAGAGAGACAAGAAGGCAGCACAGAAGTTACCAGGAATTACTTCCTCCAAATTACTCCTGTTTTGCAGTGCCTTCTACTCCCTCCAAAGAGACTTCCTTACCTGTCTACCTACCAGTGCTGGCTTAATGTGAAGGAGATATTTGATTTTCTTATGCCTACCACCTCCTTTCCTTTTCCACTCTACTTCAGGCCTCTCTTATTACCTACCTAATTTTTTATACTTGGAATTATTCTTACTATCTCAAATGATACTGCTCTCTGAACATATTTAGAATTTTCTGCCTCTCTACATGTTCAGAATTTTCTGCCTCTGGCTGCAATGGAATTTTCCCAATTTTTGCTGTGCTCAAAATACCATCTATTTATTAAGCACCAGAGCAAAAA